CATGTGTGCCACCATGTGTGCCACCATGTGTGCCACCATGTGTGCCACCATGTGTTGGCCGTCTCCACTTTCCCGATCCAAACTCTGCAGTTGTCCGAAAATGCCACACCTGCAAAGAAAGAAAAAGTGACACCTCGGTGGACCACCCCATCCACCGTATTTCGACGCCACTAGCAGGTTCGTATCTACAGTGTTTTGCGTCAAGGGACTCGATTCATTTTTTGTCCCCCCTACTCTGGAACTGATTATTTTCAACCATTAAATAACATCAAAGATCATTTTGCCCCTTCCCCACTAGTCTGGTGCCCCGTGACATATGCCCCAACTGCATACCCCTTAGCTACGCCTTTGGCCACTGGCAAATTGCCCAGCCCTCTCCCCCCCCCCCCCCGAAAATATGAAATGCCCCCCCCCCACCCCCGGGGAAAAATGTCTGAAAGATACACTGAACGACGGTGAGCTGATTACATCACGTCTGATGAAAAATCTGATGAAATGTATCCAGAAAAAGACACTTAAGACCATTCACCTTTCGGCGAAAACAGTTTCTCCTTCAATGGAGGATGTAGGAGGTAAAATTGTGTCCTGAGACACAATGCCAAAGGCAAGAGTATGATTGTTTTTCCATTGCACCTGACGAGCCGAGAGACATCTCTTGAGCAGCATTTTAATGTATGTATATTCTTGAATTCTTATGCGTCTCATCAACAATCTCAGTGCCCCCATCTCCCTATACTTGAAGATCGCATTCTCTCTAAGACCTCTGATAACCGCTTATCTTATGACCGTATTAGAACTGTTATCTACCAACTTACCAATGAATTATATTACTCTCATTGCACCAAAAAAACCGAGAAAAAAAAACTCGACAATCGTCAAACCTCATCAAACAACTTGGTCGTATGCATCCCCACTGACCTCCCACTTTCTGATGACAACATGTCTCTTCTCTCTAAGGGTCTTAAATGTATTCCCCTTAAACCATCATATGATTGCTACCAACTACTTTCGGATTTTCACCGCGTCCTTTGTTCCTCAAGACTTTCACTTTGCTGGAAAAAATACCACCCTTCCAGATGATGAGCTATTCCCGTTCCATAGAGAACGCAACTCTAATTGGACACCACCATCGAACCAATACAAAGCTATAGACCTGCTCTCTCAGTAGCACGGAACATGACATCAAAAAAACCAATCGAAATTTCTCGTCACTTTCTTTATTTAAAAAAAAAAAAAAAAAAAAATATTTTAACGTTCCACAGAGAACGCAACTCTAATTGGACACCACCAACGAACCAAAACAAAGCTATAGACCTGCTCTCTCAGTAACACGGAAAATGACATCAAAAAAACCAATCGAAATTTCTCGTCACTTTCTTTATTTAAAAAAAAAAAAAAAGAAAAATATTTTATGAGTAAGCCTACCCAATTAGTCCATTCTACACAACCTTTGTTATTTGCACAACTTTTTAAAATTTTATTTTTAATGCTTTTTTTAAAACCAAGTATTGATATTATAATTAAGTACGTATAATTGGCTTCTCAGTCACGCTGAAGAGAAAAGTTAACCGTAACTAAAACTCGGCAATGATTTATTGATCTGCAATATAACATAAAGAAGTGCATAATTAACAAAACTTCAAATTAGAAAATACTTTTTTTTTGCATTGTTCCGTATAATAAAGATTTCAGTGCACAATTACAATGATATTACTGTAACATAATTGTAATTATTGTTGTCAATACTATTTATTTATGCCACAGGAACCACTGAGCTAAAAATTTTGTTATTATTAGGAATAAATATTATATAGGCTTAGGCTTTATTATAAACTCACTAAATAGGACATTTGATTTCAAAACGTCATTCGTTTGATTAAATAAAATATTTTTGGTACCGGTACTTGATATTTAATCCAGGTTTTAATACATGTATAAACCTTGGACTATCATCCGTTGTTCGAGTGACCATATTATATAAAACTTGCTTGTCATATGGGTTTCAAATAGTTATCAGTTTTAACATAATTGTCTTATATCTATTACGTAATGAATCGCTTTCTAGATGTTTAGAAGTCTGAAATTTATGAATGGAAAACTTGGATGTCGCAATATTAATTTTGGGGAATCATGACACAAGTTAAATACTTATATAGTCAGTACAATTTTTGTGAGTCGCAACTCTAGGCTTTGTCCTATTAGCCACGGAGCGAGGTAAAAACCGTTTGAATACAAAAGACGAGACTTTAGCATCATTTAAAACTCAGACCTTCTTACCTAAGTGCTGGTATTTGGCCTTTTACTTTTAATTAGAAAAAAAATTGTTTGTTTTTTTTGCATATAAAATAATTGGATAACCTCTGAGCCACTAACCTTTGATTGAATATGTACAGCTATTGTATTTTGAAACCATAGATTCGTCTGTTAGGCAGAGCGGGTATTTATTTTATTGTATCTTTACAAAATATAATATAAGATATTAAAGCAAAGCAAGATTTAATGTATCCAATCATTTTAGCTCAGATTAGACTTGATCCAAAGATGACTAGATAATCTAAAGTTTCAGTGGAGATCATTGCTTTCTTCTTGCGATTTCAAAACTATTTATTTAGTTAGTCAACCTCCCCCCCTCCCCCCGGCTCTAGTCGACATTGTCTATAGTGGCATGCCGATTAAGAGTCACTGTCGACCCACTGGCATCACCGTGTAGAGGACTTGTTACTGGAGACAAGAGTCTTGCATGGTATGGACGTTAGAAAGAGCATAGCTGTACGGTACCTAACCAATTAAAGTTGAAAATAACGTCAGAAACATGATTTCTAGTTGCTGCTATACTGCAATGGATATCAATATGAGGCATGGGTGGGTTGGGGAAGGTCATGCCGATGATTACATCATACAGTTTCGTCATTGCTGCTTAGCAACTTATTCACGAGGTAAAAGACCATTTGTATAAAACCATCTTTGAGGGCGTCTGTCGCCATCCTGGGATGGGAAGGGGTGTATAATTGGGGACTTGATATCTCTCCCAGATCTAGAAAGTTCGTTTGCTGGTGTTGCTAGAGCAGCACTACCAACCGGCTAGATGCTCCTTGTTTGATATTGCCCCACTTACTTGGTCAAGCGAGTGGACGGCGGGATGCTTTCGGCGTGCCGCTTCGTGGCCGAAGATTCCGCTATTCGGGTTGGGGGCAAAATGCTCAGGTTGGAAAAGTCTAATGAGCTACGGCTCGATGGCTTGCTGTTTTTCTTAAGATATTTTTTCACCAAAATGCCACAGGCAATGTGTTTTTTTTTAAAATCCATCTGTTCAATGATTAAAAAAAAAAATATTTACAATTCATATCATTGAACCAAAAATGAGAAGGCTTTTAAGTAACTATAACAAATATGTATCATTAACATGTATGTATATAGTAATAAATACACTGATATAACATTAATTTAATTAATAAAAAAACCACATAAAATAATTAAACGAATTAATCAGTAGATACAAATTTTGGACTTAATAATTATAATTGATACAAAAAATTGGACTTGTTTCATCACATTTTATAAACAATTCAGGTGAACATTAATTTGTTATTATTTGTTAACTATGAACCAAATACCACAATTATCTGATCTGATCTCTACGGAAGCGAGACAGGTTTCAAATATAATAGTTCTCAAATCTGTTACTGAGGCCTTATCATTGTTTGGTATCTTGGCCAATATCATCAATGTCATCGTCTTTACGAAATCTGGCTTCAGCGATACTGTGAATATTAGTCTCACATCTCTGGCAGTAGCTGACCTTGGTGCACTCGTTGTGTTTCAATGGTTTAATATCTGTACCAGCCCATGGCTACATCTAGAGAACAGGTATGTTTTTCTTTTGTCTTTAGCCTCCCCCTCTCCCTTTTTTAAAAAGCGTTACTGGATAATTGACAGCATAGTTAGCTCTCCTGTGAAAGTCCCCCTCTCTCCCCCCCAAATGGAATGAAAAGATATATTGGGTTACTTCTGTGATCTCCCCAGGCAAGCATATGCTGGGTCATAATTTCTAACAGTGAAATAATAGGAAATGTATATCATAGTATATGGCAACTAATTAAAAGAGTGTGCAAATGGGAAATATTGAAACGGCTATGAATACACCTTATATTATTTGTAAAAATTCAATATTATAATATTGGATTTAAAAAAAAAAAATGACAACTTATGTATTAATTACGAGTATAGAGTTATGAAGGGAATTTTCGGCCCTTTCTCATATATTTATTCATCTTAGATATAAGCCGTATCGCCACGTAAATGGGACTACCCTCTCATCTAACAACAAGTACCGTTAATCAAATAAATATTGTCATTTTTATTAAAGAATTTAAATTTTGCTACATTTTTCTAAACCATTATCGTTTTGCTGAATTCTTTTTCAATAGATCAAATGCTTTCCTCTCTTCATTGTGGTCAAGGGAGAAAAAATGATTACAGACATTACTTTTATTATAAAAGTTATTTGAATTAATTTCAAAATAAACGTTCAGTTATTGAAATGATTTGAAATGCAGTTTTTAATTGATTTCCTAAACAATTCAAGTATTATCATGTTACACATTATTAACATAATTTGAAAATGTTAAAACGTTATCATAACTTATATTAAACCTTAAAGTATTTTTAAAAAAAATGCTATACAGCAGGTTTGCACAACATACGGCCCGCGGGCCGCATGAGGCCCGCCAGTACCCACTTTGCGGCCCGCAAAGTAACGAAATATTCTTTATTCTTATTATTTTCTTATTAGCTTTTCCCCCTGTCCTGTTTTCTTGTGGCCCACAAAAGTCCTAACCGTTTTCTTTCGGCCCGCACAAGTTTTTCATAAAATATTACGGCCCACCTTACATTTTGAGTTGTGCAGGCCTGCTATACAATAATTACTTTAAGTGAATTCCTTATTGATCTCTGTATTTTTAATTTTTGTTTTGTTTTGCAGCCTGGCAATTAATGCCGATGAAATACAAAGCCTGACCTCTGGCTTCCCTCATGTTTATTTTACCAGAGTCAGTGGTTGGATCACGGCATTTGTGACTTTGGAGAGATGCCTCAGCGTTGCTACGCCCCTGAAAGTTAAGACTCTAGTCACCAGAAATCTAGTGATAGCGTGTAACGTTAGCGCTTATCTCACGATGACGCTCTGTTTACTCCCTGTGTACTACACCTCCTTTTACGCCTGGAAGTTTGATTCAAAGTTTAACAAAACCTTAATTGGCATTGTGTACACATCAAACAGACAGAATGTTCTCAGCGTGTCTCTACTGATCACAGAATTAGCTTTGCCATTGGTCTCTTTCGGTTGCGTCATTGCATGTTCCTCCGTTTTGTGTGTACATTTAAACAATAAAATGACCTGGAGGCAGTCAGTGACGACTCTTTCAATAAAGCGAAAAAAACAAGCAAGTCCTAATAAAGAAAGGAAGATAGTTGCCATGGTAACGATTGTAGCGGTCATTTTCATAGTTTGTTTTACACCGGTCAGTGTCTTGTTGGCAGCCAGGGCCATTGTCCCAGAGTTAGACATCAGGGGCCGCTACTCCAACATGAACGCCCTGTGTGCCTACCTTTCTTTCCTGTTAAGAACAACCAACAGCAGCTGTAACATTTTTGTCTACTACAAAATGAGCTCAAGATATCGACACACATTACGTCATTTCTGCTTTTTTGGGGGTGGACCAGAAGGAGTAAAGTAATCAATTTAATTGTTCGTTTTGCTCTGTATACAGATTGCTAGGAGCGTAATAAATAAGAAACATTTAAACAAAGTATATGCAGTGGCCTAAGGAGGGAAGGGTGGTACTTTCTTCTCATTATATGGAGGGGTGGCATTTTCGGCAAGCAGAACATTCATTTTTGTGGAAGGGGAGCGTCGAAATCTCCACCCGACCCGGGCGGCACTAACCCTAACTACGCCGCTGAGCAAAATGGAAAAATTGAGACATTGAAGATTTCACCGTTGAATGAGTCTAGTAATTGCTATTTCTAAAACAATCGCTTGAACTACATACACACATCTATATTAAATGTATTTGTTAAAAGAATTTGAACTCGGCAAAGTTAAAACAAGTCATGTCATACAATTTAATAAGTATTGTAAAGATAGCTTATAGTAACAGAAGAAAACAGCAGTTAACACCAATTTTATGATAATCGACCTTTTAATTATATAATGTGCTTACTAAACAACAAAATAGACTCAATTACCTTAAAATTACCAGTTACAAAGGGACAAGAATGAGCACTATATTTAATTTTATCTATAAATTTTTAAAATCACCGAAATTCTATATCAAGATAAAAATTGGGAAATTATCCACAAACGAGTGCATTGTTGTTATAGAGACTACATTTAAACTGAATTATGTCTTCATATTTTATTTATTTTTTTATTCGAAATTTCACTTCACATATTTTCAAACATGGTAAATTTAGAATCCTCCTAGTTTTGATTAAGCAACGGTCTGTGCTCAATGTTAGCTCTAAAGCATTCCATAAAAGTAGAGATATGTGCATGTGAAGGCAACTCCCAATAGAAACCAAGTAAATAAATATTGGTACAAATGTTCAAACTGCCCAAAGTTTGCGATTTGAGAAATAAAAAGCTACAGCGATTGTAGAAGTCGAACGAAAAATAATTTATCCTTGAATTGTGATATCTCTATAATTTTATTGACCTAACAGAGGTGGTGGTGTTTTAATTAGTGGTGGTGGAGTTTTAAAAGTTGGGGGTAAATGTACGGCAGTCATCGTGATGCTATGATGTATTGTTGTAGGCAATGCTCTGGTAGTGGAGACAGGGGGCGGTGCTTTTGTTGTGGCAATAAGAGGAAGTGCCCCAGTAGTCATGATAGGTGGAGGTGCTTTCGTTGTGATTACCTGTGGAGTGGCTTTCGTTGTGATTACCTGTGGAGTGGCTTTCGTTGTGATTATCAGGGAAGGTGCTTTTGTTGTGGTGAAAGGGGGAGGTGATTTCGTCGTAGTGACATGGGGAGGTGTTTTCGTCGTGGTGACATGGGGAGGTGACTTGGTTGTGGTGATGGGAGGAGGTGCTTTCGTTGTGGTAGAGACTATAGAAAATGTTCTCGTTGTTGTTATTGGTGGAAGTACTTTCGTTGTGATGACAGAGGGAGGTGATGCCTTGGTTGTGGTGATGGAGGGTGGTGCCTTTGTCGTACTTGGATACTGTGTTGATTGCATCAACTGGTTAGTGCCTTCAAAATAAATACAATATATTAAAAGAAGTTATGCAAGACCAACTTTAAGTTCTATGTTAATATTATAAATTAACTACTTTTGAAGCTATTCAATGTGTAATTTAATATCTTACCACAGAGCTTGCAAAATTTGCGACAATTTGTTTCTGCCCAGGATTTAAATGAAGGATTAGTGCAAGTATCATCTTGGAAGGTGGCGCAATCAGGCTTCGCATCAACACAGGGAGTTGATGTGCTTGATGGCATTGGAGTTGTATCTTGAGCTATCAAGTGTACAGAAGAAAATAGTTTAAAGCGAAAAGTTAAATAAAACCAAATATAATCCCACGTTAAAAATATGGATGAGGATGAAACAGACTTCCAAAGTTTCACTGGTGAGTGAAGTAAATGAATTAGAATTCCAAGTTAATGAGTTGCATTTTTCTGACTCTTAAAACATTCAATGTTACCCACAGTTTAGATTCCCTTACGGAAAACATACAAAGTTGTGGTGCCAAGGTTTAACATCTAACCATAGTAAATGTAAATATACAGTTTGTATATAAACGCACTCACAATGCGCACCATACACAGAGAGAAGTTATTCGCGCACTCATTTGCATCCATTGCAAATTATTTTTCTTTTACAAGTTTTAAAATTACTTAGACTTAGACTAAATTTATTCATGTTGGTAACATGTCGTTAAATCGTCACAAGAAACTGCTGGTCCTAGTAGGAACTTCAGACTCAGCTGTTTTTTAAACCGCTGATGTGGCGTATGTTTCACGGCTTTCAATGTCTTTAATGCTACAACATTTAGGTAGACTCAAAAGTGGGAACATTTTTTGGAATTTTCTGCCGCAGACTCATCAATGTGCGATAGAGCGGACTGTATTTTCCATTTGCTATCACTAATATTAAGAGGAGGATCTTAACTATTCACATACCGGCACCGCAGAACTTGCAGAATTTGCGACAATTACTTTCTGCCCAATTTTTATATAAAGAATTAGTGCAAGTATCTTCCTGGAATGTCGAGCAGTCTGGCCTGGTATCGACACAGGGAGCTGCCATGGTTGTAGTTGGGGTAGTACCTGGACGTAATTATCAAAACATTTATATTTTGCAAAAGTAACCCGAAGAACAATAAATAAACAATACTAATTATTGTGACAAATGCTTTAATTGAAGCCAAACACAGTAGAGCCTCGTATTACGAGCATAATTCGTTCCGCAATGTTCTCGTAATCCAAAACACTCGTATATAAAAGCGAACATCTTATAATAATGAAGTTCGATGATTCGTTCCCCAATGATTAATACAAAATATATTTTTATACTTGTATTACTTAAATTTGAAATATACAGTATTTAAATGTAATATCAAAGCTAAATGTTGCTTTTTGAGGGGAAATGTGAGAGAAGGGAGAGAAAGAGAGAGAGGGAGAGAAAGAGAGAGAGAGAGACACAGTTACACATTCAGACAGACAGACATTCAGACAGACAGACAGACATATAGACAGACAGATAGACAGACAGACAGACAGACAGACAGACAGACAGAATGACAGAAAGATAGATTAGATAGATAGATAGATAGATAGATAGATAGATAGATAGATAGATAGATAGATAGATAGATAGATAGATAGATAGATAGATAGATAGATAGATAGATAGATAGATAGATAGATAGATAG